ACTCGAATGTGTGTGTGTGTGCAGTTAATCTGCCACAGTGCTGAGAACAGCTTGTCTGTTTGGATCAGTGCCCATCAGGATCAGGAATCGTTTGGTTGGGTCTGCTCGCTGCTATCACATCTCGGGCCTTGATGAGGCAGCACAGCAGCACTGCTGGATGTGCCACACACACACACACACACACACACACACACACACACACACACACACCGTATGCCTAATCTGCCTGCTTTTCAGCAAAATATGTCTTTCACATCCAAATGCTTCCAAATCTATTTTAACGACAGTTTTGGAATCTTTAAATTCATGAGAATTAAAAAAATAACCGCAGTTTATGTTGCACATTACAGATGTTTTAATTCATAGCACTGGCTAGATAAAACATGCCGATGCAAAAATGATTGTTCCAGCCTTTTTTGTTATTCTAGATAATCAATATGATTGTTTTTACATATGCAACATAAAACCTCATGTAACCTTGTGCAGAATTCAGTGTCAGGAGTGGATGTTTGCGTTGGCTTTTAGGAACTGTCAATTTGAGTGTGTGTGTGTGCGGGCTGAACTTTAAAGCTTCTATCTTTTAGTAGGTGTTTTCCCCAGTTTGTGTTTCATCCTTTCACACTGTGATCTGTCCGGAATTCTCTTATGTAGCAACAAGGAGGTCTGATTAAAGTCAAGCTGTGAATTACAGGTTCCTGCCTCAAAACCAGCCTCTGCTTGCTGCATTCTCTAACTATCATATTCCATATTGTACTTGATGGAAATAATGCTGAATCGAGAGCGTTAGTTCGGTCTGACTTTGCCAGTATACCCATTTATTTTTATAGTTTTAAAATATAATGCGATGCGTGTCTTACTACACATGTGACGGCGGATTAAGTTGATAAAGTTCTTTCTGAGTCACAGACGTAAAGAAATGTCCCCATCTAGTAGAAGCAGGCCTTCATTATCCAGTGATCAGCCAGCTAGATATAATAGTGGTGGGAACCAGTGGAGCGATGCGCATTCCACCGAGAAAATACTGCTTATTGCAAGTGTGTGTGTGAGAAAGAAACAAAGCTGTGTTAATGCAAGGTGCTGTAATCCACTAAGTGACCTTCAGAACCTGCTCGGAGGTGTGTGTGTGTGTGTGTGTGTGTGTGTGTGTCACTGAAGCTTATGCTTGAAGGTGGTCTTATCCACCCAGTGACTCTCAGAGCCAGATGGTGTGTGACTGTGTGCCTGTGAGAGTGTGTGTCCTACCTATGAGTCTCCTGGCAACAAAGTCCACCCCCCCCCCTCCCACCCGCCATCCACCCACCCACCCACCCACCCATACTGCCCTCCTGACCGGCCAAACAACACCCGCCCCTCGCCCCTTTATCCTCCATCCTTTCAGTTGGGTGTGATCACATCAAAGTGAAACAGGGAGGATTACAGGTTGGTGCCTCTAGGGTTCCCAAGCAAGACCTCCGCCTCTCTAACTGTGGCACCCTCTCTTTCTTTTCCACTGCTCCGTCAGTCTCTCCAATGGGAACCCCCCCGTAATCCCTGTGGTGTCAGGAGGCCAGGGCACCATGTCATGGACGACCTGTCAGGACACATATAATAACAGCTGGATATGGAGACCCAGCTAGCTAAGAGTAGCCCAGCTGGCCTTTTAGAAGTCTCACACATTTTTCACATCTTCTTTAATGCATTTTATTGTTTTTTCTTCTGCATTTCATCTTCCCTTGTACACATTTTCTTTCAGCCCCGCTACCTTGACAATACCCAAGCACTAGTTAAGCATGAAATGAAACCAAAATGGCTCTTTGTTCTACCAAGTCTCAATTCAACTCCTGACCCACTGCTGTGGATGCTATTAATAAAACAATGCAACCCACACACACACACTTCACCCTCGCATAGATGAGATTAGTATGCGGTTACAGCTGGCAGTACAAGCCCCATAGTTGCAATGATGCTAATGATCCACTCCATACTGGAATGTGTTTTATGTTGGGTCAGCCGGTCTGGATCTTTCTGCATCTGTTGAGGAAATGTTTATAATGCAACACATGTAATGTTGGCAGATGTCATGCTAACACATTGTCACACTAAGGCTTGGTCAGCCTGCCCTACACATGGCGGTTGAATGCGTTGTGCCTTCCCTTTGAAGAATCTGCATCTGTTCTGCAGGATTCCTCATCGAGGTGCAGCAGCAATGCAATGTGTCTCCTTAAATTCAGCTCAGTCAAATAAAAAACTATGTGAGATTAGTGTGTAGAGCATAAACAGCAGTAGGTCAAACTGAAAAGTTAAATGTCTCTTTCAAAGAAAGTTCAGTCCAGAAAAGGGTCCTCAATCAAATGATGATGTCAAAAAGTGCTTTATTTTACGTAACATCTTACTAATCAATTAATGTGGCAAAATCTTCAAAGGCCATTGTGAGATGCTTTCCACTACATTCATTGCATGCCGGCTTCTTGACTTTATGAGGCGAAGGGCAGGACGTTGGATGACACCAATTATGAATCCGCTGTTGTGCGTTTTCAGCCAAGTCCTCCTTCTAATGAAAACCACTAACTATTCTGCCATCTGTCAGAATTAAACACAGTGACAATGTGTCCTCCTACTTCAGGGAAACAAGAACACAATGTCTGTTGAACTCCACAGCTACATCTGGAGATGCTAAAAAGTCTATTGGAAGCCAGTGTTTAGTTAGAGATTGTAAGAAATAGCACAGCACTGCAAACGGATGCAGTTCTTTATGTCTATACGGTATAATTACGTTATTGTTATGTCATAACAGCTGGACTTTTATTTTATATTATTTACCCAATGGACCTATTATGAGTCTTGACTATACATTTTCATTACCTAAAGAAGTAGGCCATTAGGCAGCTGCGCTCAAGTGTTATTGCAGCTGAGTGGATTCTAATATACAATGCGTGTGTGTATAAAATATGGAAGCGCAATAGAAGCACGTTAACGTAATGAAAGGAATGGTAATGTTTTTGCAGGGCTGATCCTGAATGAGAACGTGTCTCTGGTGGTGCTGGTATATGATGTTGTGCATTATACATAACGAGCTCTACATGGCCAATAAAGCCAATTCTGATTCTGATTACGCAACAAACACGGTTAAATTATTCATCTTAGACTGAGTGTGTGTTAGGATCTGTCCTATATGTCCTCTATATTTCCACGGAAGGCCTTATCGACAAAGACCACAGGGGGAGACTCCAACATGGGAAACACCATCGTGAGTGAGCGCTCACGGCAATCCAAAGATCATTTTGGTTCATTGATTTGCAATTCACGGAGAAGCTATTAGGAAACCGAGCCTTCGTCGGTTTCTAAAGACCAGAGGCTTCGGCTGAGACAAAAGCCTTTGTCAGGATCACAGCGCTCGCTCTGCAGTCTGTAGAGACGTCAGGCTGGTTTATGACAGACAGGTCAGCAGGGGCAATGGGCTGAAGAAAAACTACACAAGCAGAAACACACAGTCACAAACTCCAATAGATTTAACGGTGCATGTGCTGAAATGCAAGGCAAGTGTGTGTTGTGTGTGGGAATGCAGGCAAACTTGAAGACAGCACACACGTACTGCAATGAACCCCCTGCTGTGAGACCCATGACCTCTCTGTACCGGGACGCTGGTGACCGTTTGTAGGTAGGTGTGTGTGTGTGTGTGTGTGTGTCAGGGATCACTGCACCTGTCATTGGAATCAATACTAAGGATTTGGGACGAGTGGAGAAAAGATGTGACAGCGTTGTGCTGAAAACAAGCAGTACACAAAATGAGGATTCAGATGCATGCCCATTAAATATCACAGGTAATGTTTCTATAAACTCGTATGCTTTCATACTTCTCTTTTCCCTCGTGAAAACGTCATCAAAGGAATACTTTGTGACTATCTGTGTGGAAGCTCACCGCAGCAAAACACAAGAGAACATTAAAAGGTTTTTAAAAACCCTCTTAAGATCTTTCCACTGGCTCAGTGACTTGGAGTTTGGTGTGGCATGTGAGGCCCTTTTAAAACTTCATATCAGTGAAACTTTTCTCCTTTCATTTGAAACTTCTTAAACATTCTTGTGTTCAGATGCTGGTAATCATGATATTATACTTCCCCCTTTACTCGTGTGCAGGATGATGTGAGCCCTCATGTGTTATAAACGTCTCTTACTGCGTGTACAATGGCTTATCAGACCACATGCTGTCCACACCACCATGCCGTCATGTTATTGTCCCGGACGTCCGTCTTTCTGTTCGTGGATGCCGTCAGAGTTGTTGGATAGGAGCGACGCGTAGGTCACAGCAGGGTAAAGTCAGGCCTCTGGTCACGTCACATCTCACGGCACTTACTCCCAAATCTCAAGACTCATCTTTGTCACTGGAGGCTTCTGCACGCTGTGTTCCAACAGTGTTCTCCGCTCATCCCATGTCACACTGTTCCAGAGATGGCCAAGAAAACATCGCTCGCGATATGTCGAGTAGGCGTGACGTCCCGCCAGGGAGGCCTTTTCGGGCAGGATTTGAACTCTGGAAGCTCGTACCGGGAGGATGTTGTACAGAAATTGTACAAGCACACTTTGAATGCGGGATTGGAACAATGCATAATGTGACTCATTGATTTTTTTCATTTCCACTCTTTCAACGGTCTCCTGAGTAAAAAAAGAGAGCACACAGCGTTCCACTCGCGATTTTTAACTTTCCAGTGAATGGTTCAAATGATCAGAGGGAGCCTCGTTTCAAACGTCTCCTTACACACTAATCAAAGTCACTGATGGAAGTAGAAGTTATGGACAGGTATCAATACAACGCCACAGTAGCACACACACACACACACACACACACACACACACACACATACACACACATAGGAAATAGGATATTGCACGTCCCTGCCCCTTTCCACTCCCCTCACCTCCCACCTTCCCCTCTCCCTTCAACCCCTCCCTCCCTCTCTGTCTCTCTCCCCTCTTGAATTAAGTCCATTATTACTGGCTGCTCTCCCTCTGAGCACTTCTACTTTGCTCAGCTTCTGTGACAACGGGGTGTGTGTGTGTGTGTGTGTGTGCGCGTGAACTCGTCCCGTGTGTGTGTTAAGAAGAGTTTTATGTGTGTGCACAGGCGGCTGTGTGCTCTTCTAAGTGGAGTGCGGCCGTTCATCAGCGGGGCTGACTGCAGAGAGGGGGATACTCTGATCTCACTGCGCAGCTTTTTAATTCACACACCGGCTGCTTTTTGGACTTTTTGCACCAAAGCGGGACTCTGCTCTCTTTCTGCCCTCCAGGCACCATTCCCATCACTGGAATTACTGGCTTTTACCCGCTGCAGCCTGAAAAACAACTAAATCTATTGATTATTTTGAAATTCAACATTATTATTCATCGGCTATTCCAGGGACAAATTTCAGGATTCACTTCAACTTCCATTCTTATTGAATGTATGCATGAGAGCAATGGCATCATTCATCTGAGAGCTCGTAGGTATTTAGCAATCGACTCTGATGGTCTATAATCAGGTTTGTCTCATACGGACTTTTTTTTTATAAGGCAATGGAAAGATTATTAGATCAAACACGAATAAGCAGCGCGGTAACTGTGAAAACCATCAGTGCCGTCCGAGGCATGTTTGGCTCATGTGGACACTGATCCTGTCCTGGGATCTTCTGAGCTGTTCCCCTGGAAACCGCTGGACAGGTGAGTTGATATTAACTTGCCCAGTCAGGAATGTTCATGGTCGCTGTTTACGTGTTTTAATCATCATCCAAATGATGATTCAGATAATAATGCGGCGCAGGGAAGATCTGGGGCTTTCTGGCATTACTGCACTGTAATAGCTGGTATTGACTTTAGCCGCATAACTTAGTCATTTGTGGTCAAATCAACAAATCCAAATATCTCTTAATTACCTCCCCAACGACATGTGGGCTCGGGTTGAAAGTGAGTTGTCTTCTCTCGGCTGTTTGGAAAAGCTCCAGTAAGGAGACCACTAAGGTTCTGACTCACTGCTGCTTCTGGATCCAACACGGCCAAATGGTACCAGCTGCCAGCTGGGGGCCGTCGCCTCAGCGGCTCCTTCGTTGTCTCTTTTTTTCCCAGAGCCTCTTTGATGGGAGCTTTCAGGCATTCTTGTGACCGTAGGGAGGCGGTTCTTCTTTGGCCAATTCAGGCTGTGCGAGCTTAATTGATTGAAACAAAATACTGAAAACATCTGAATAGTGAGAGATGCGACGTACAGTGATGCATCGATAATGAGTGAGAGTGCTTGGGTTTGGAAGGGTGCACTTGCATTTCAGACAGCTATCAACGGCTTCACAGGCTGGGAAACTTTCCATTAATGGTCGCCGGGCCAGGTGGCTCGGCCCCAGCAGCCGACATGGCGAAGTAACCTCCCTGCCTCCTTCATTTACCCCGTGTCCTTTAGAACTGTGCAGCCCCAGATCGCCTCGCTCTCCTTTTCTCACTTTTCTTTTGCAGGTTTCTAAAGAGCAAAGACCCCGAATCCCTTTTGACTTACAGCTGCTTTGCTTTGACGGTCGTGTGTGTGTGTGTGTGTGTGTGTGTGTGTGTGTGTGTGTGTGTGTCCTTACTCCCAAGACCCTCCACTGCAAACAACACTGTACTCCTATAATCCATAGTGCACGGTAGACTTTTCATGTGACTGAGCTTTTTCCCCCGTGAAGGCTTGTTCTGTACCGTTATCCACCTGTGTGGCTTTTCTCAGCTCTCAGCTCTGAAACAAAATGAACCAGTGCTTTTAAACAATAACGGGGTCACAGCTGAAAGTCTTACTGCATTCTGCTTCGTCACTTGTTTTTCACAGTCCGCAGCGTGTTGACCTGCAGCCAAAGCCGCCCCGCATCACCTGCTCGTCCTCTCTCACTTCTCTCTGCACATATTGAGGGGTCCGGCTTTCATGTGTTATCGTTTTTCATTTCTCAAGGATTATTTTGAACTGCCAAGGTCGGAATGTAGAGAGTTTGGATGTCTTTGCTGCCCTTGTACTTTCATTTAATACTTGTCAAGAAACAGACCCGCATTCATGTCTAAAGGCTTTTTATTCCACCTTAACGATCAATTACACACATGCTAATCGCAACCAACATTTCTTTATCAGTCAACTTTGTGTTTTTCTCAACTTTAACCCCCCCCCAAAAAGTTGTAACACTCGGCCAAATGGCCGACCTTGTGTGATTAAAATCTAAAATGATCCCCAGATGCGAGGTTAGTCTTGAAGATGTGATAAATACGCACTACTGCCGTGGGCAAGATAGTAAAAAAGCTAAATGATACCTTGGCAGGCATGAGGTGCATATAGTTCCAACGCATGTCAGGTGTTTTTAGCATGACAATATGATTAAAATAATTCAATTCAACTGTTTGTTATGTGGTGAGTGGGATAACAAAAACAGTATTTTGCTTCCTATAAGTCTGCTCCTTTTACCCGTCATACCTCCACTCATCTGTGTTTTAAAATTTTAAAATTGATGAGGGACAAATACTCGGTTGAGGCAGGGAGTATCCACAAGGAAATGACGTGTTATTTCAATGATTCACACCTCGAATCAACAACTTACGAATGAATAACAATCACATGCACTACGCACATGTTTCCATATTTAGTCTTCGTCTTTTTTTTGTTTCGTGCAAAGATACTAAAAAACATCAATATAGCCCTAAGACTCAAGATCAATGGGGCAATATCTTTTCCTGAGGATTGTTTTTTGCGTTCTTGCGTTTCGTCTCCATAATTTGCTTTAATCCCCCCGTGCCCCCTCTTCTCCAGACAAACCGGTGCAAAAGCCACGAGTAACCTGCTGTTTCAGTAATTTTGTTCTGTAAAGCTGAGAGCCCTCCCTCCTCCTCACCCTCATTCTTCCTCGTCCTCCCTCCATCCACCCGTCCCTCCTTCCTTTCATTTCTCCTTCGCAGGGAGGCTTAGACTTGTTGGTAAGAGGCCAAGGAAACTCTTTTCTCCCTGCAGGCGAAAACAATTGGCTCCTTTCTGTACACCACCTCTCGCCTCGTTCATTTCTCCTCCCTCCCTCCCTCGTGTCCTCCGTGGGACGGGGCTGTGAGGGTGTGACGTCTGTATATTGCTCCGTCCCTTCTACTCATATTGTCTCCCTCTTGCCTCCCCCATCTCTCCTCTCCGCTAGCGAAGGCTACTTCCTTCTTAGCTTCATAAAACTCCCTCCTCTCACACTCAGTTTCTTCTCATTTTTCACTTTTCTTTTTCCAATTGCGGCTTCCTTCCTAACTTTTAGTCTCCGAAGCCTCGTTATTTCTTTGCCTTCCCTGTTCCTCCCATTTAGTGCTTGTCCTAGTGTCCCACATCACTCCTATCACCCCGGTTTCTCTCTCACTTCCTCTTTCTACCAAATGCTCTTCATATTCATTCATTTCTATCTTTCTCCCTCACTAGTAACTCGCCCTCATCCCACCCTGTGTTCCTCCCCATCAGACCCTCGGCGTCTATGACTCTCTTCCTCTCTAACCGGTGACGGTTGAAGGGCTGCAGGTCAAACTGCTGATAAACATTCATTACCTTGTGTTGTGCTGTCGGCCTGCACTCCAACCTCCATCTGAAAGGCCTGTCCCGCCCTGACTGCTTTGTCCTGCCTCTGTCTCTAGTTGGGCTTTTTTAACAGGACGGCCTCCCCCCTCCTCCTCACCCCCCCTTCTCTTTATTTTTAATCCACTCCCTCTTGGCATGTCGCGGCTCCATGTCTGTTGAAGCTGAAGAATGCAAGTGTCAGTGGGCCCAATGGCTTTTTTTATTAAGATGCATTATGTAGCATGCGAGTTTGTGTATTTGTGTGTGAGTGTGTGTGTGTGTGTGTGTGTGTGTGTGTGTGTGTGTTTGTGTTGACTGATCTAAAGTGCTGAGAAGCAGAGAGTTTGTATATAAGTTCCTGAACATAATTGTGTGTGTGTGTGTGTGTGGGGGGGGGGGGGCTCAGGGCTCTGGGATGATACAAGGCTGTGTGCGAGACAATAATGGTCCCTTAAACTCATAATAGCAGTATTGGAAGACACACACATGATGCGCACACACTCACACGGCTCGGGGAGGAACAATGGGACCGTCCATTCCTTTTAGAGCGGCCCGCGGGAAGAAAGCGCCTCAATGCCGCCCCGTGTCACTCCCAAGAACTGTGACGCGGAGGGTTTGTGTGCGTGTTTGTGTGTCACGCAGCTGCAGCTGACGAAAGCGCTGAGGTCCTTGAAATACTGCGCCGTCTTTGCAGCAACGTGCAAACCCTGAGACTCACACACCCACACACACACACACACACACACACAGGCTCGCAGTCTTTATTCGGCCTTTCACACAGACACACGCATAAATATTCTGCTACGCACCTGATTTCAGGATATTCACACCTGCACATAGCCTCTTTGTGCAGTTCTGAAACATAAGGTTGTGAGTATGTTTGTCCATTCCTGTGTGTGTGTGTGTGTGTGTGTGTGCGTGTGCAGGTTATGTGGGAGTTTATGTTCCCGCTCAGCTCCGGCCTGTTGTGTTGCGGCCTGGGAGCCGTGAGTTTATGAGAGCTCTCCTGTCTTCACGCCTCAATAGCTCCATTATTCATAAAACGCTGTGCCAACAGCCTTGACGGGCCTGTCCGTGTGTGTACTTTGATGTGTGCGTGTGTATACTGCATCTTTCTGTATTTTAATGCGCACATGTGTGCTTAAAAGGGACCGCCGCAGCTTTCAGAAGTTTTCCCACCAGATATTTTAACAAATGAAAAGAAAAGCATAAGATGAATGAGGTGGATGACGTCACTGACCAGGACGTCCATCAGACCCCGTTACTAATCATGCATATATGTACTGTACATATTGTGATGGATCTTTGTTCTTATGCTACTTAAGTTCAGCACATATGTGGCTACGAGGTTTGAAAAAAGCTTCTTGGGGCCAGCGGGCCTCTTTTTAAACACTGGCTCCTTTAAGTCATTTCGAAGAATCCATGAACCATATGAAGAAAGGTAATAACTGTTCTCCTATTCCTGATATCACTGACAATCACATCCAGTTCCAACGAAAGGGAAAGAGGGGGGGAAGCAGAATGCCGGCCTGTTCCTGACTGAGTGCCGACTGTGAGGTGTAATATAATAAAGGAGACTGTTTCTACTGAAAGGCTTTATTGTCACGGCCGACCGCAGGGTCCAAAGTACTGGGAGAGAGGCGTGTGAGAGTGTGCGTCTGTCCAGTGTACACTTTGACTACACAACATTCATATACGTGTGAGCTTACAAACCAGTGACCTCATTCCGGCCCCCGCTGTGGTAGAGTCGTGGTTTAACGCACTCACAGGCAAAGAACAAACTTATTGGGGCTTTTTCCGCAACAATAACAAATCTGCCACTCCAAATTTGACTCCAGCTCTCGAATTACTTCATGGTGATTCTTTTTATGTACTTCTTGACACAAAATCCCAGTAGACTCTGAAACAGAGAAACTGCTCATTGAAGACGCCGTGTGCAGAGAACATTATAAAAGCCAACAGTTTGAGGCTGTGAATAAATTATAATGAATTGTATCTACCAGCGGGTAATTCAATGCTGACTCAATATTGACTGTAATCCTATTTTCCTGAGGGAAAAAAAACCTTTATTATCTGGATTTGCTCACAAGCAACAATGGAGTCTTGCGATCAAACTGTACATTCATCCACGTGGCCGTTGGCTCATCGTGTCCTCAGCAATGAAGCGATCTCATCTGGGGACATCGTCTGCCAGTGTGGAGACACAGAGATCGGGAGACAGAGAGAAAGAAAGGGACTTTGAGTTGGCAGTGCCACAGACAGGACACTCACACACACACTCAGACGCACACAGTCCTAATTATCATGGTCAGCGTGTGTGTGTTTTGGATACTGTCCCTGGGTCTCTTTGTAATGTGCAGAGATTATAGTGGTGTTGCCATAATGGAGGCTGGCGTTGACGCAGCCTGAGGACACAAATCTGACGCTGACTAAATATACCTTGGATGCCGATGCTTGTGTGTGTGTGTGTGTGTGTGTGTGTTTGTGTGAGTATGTGTGCAGGGGGCATCCCTGGCACATGCAAACAAATGCTGGTTCTTTCCGATCCTAAATGGTCTCCCTTTCTGTCTCTATTTTTAGGTCCGTGCGTGACGTCGTTGCCTCGTCTCGGAGGTGAGAGGGATCTCGGTCATCCTTCACAAGTTGAGCTGTAAGTCGGCTTGGAGAGACTCCTCGGAAACAAGGGGGGTGTTATAAAGAATACGCTGAATATTAAGATCTTGAAAGGAAGCCAAGGAGAGCCCCCCTCAAGCAAACGCCAAGACAGAGAATCTGTTTTGGAATTATAGTGCCGAGCTCATTCTGAACCGTCACCAAACAGGACCCGGGCCCAAACCAAGGGAGGTGGACTGGAGCGAAGACACTGACAGAGAACAGGACGTTTTCCCTCTAAATCAGAACCAAACTAACAAAAACCAACATTTCACATTAAAGCTGACATCAATTTAGGCTGAATACCACAATCAAGTCACATACTCCAATTTCTAAGTTGACTTTGAAGAAAGGAGCTCGCTCTGAGCGAGCCGAGATGATGACCATGATGATGATGATGACGGTCACCTGCAGCGCTCTCTTCCTGCTGGGTCTTGTCACAGCCCAAGCTTCCTCCTCTACATCTTCATCCTCCTCCTCTTCTGCCTCCTCCTCCTCCTCCTCACCCCGCATGAAGCTCTCATACAAAGGTAAGATGCAAGGTTTTGCGAAGGAAAGAAGGGGAATTCCTCTTGTGTGCTTGTGAGTTTATGTCTTATGGCGCCTAATCTATACGTTGTTTTGCATGCTGTACGTGCACAGGCACACACACGTTTTCATGCATCACACAGCTTCCACAATATCCCTTTATAAACTGTAAACTGTCAACAGTCTTAAACAGCAGCAAGCTGTAATTTGTGGTTAGTGTGATTAACAGCAACACAAAAGCGAACACACAAACACACACACACACACAGAGAGCTTAAACACAGCGGCGGGGTTTGAGTTTCATCTCGAGCATTGTGAAGGCGGCTCAATGCCCAACACGACCGCATAAACCAGGGATGTGTTCCATCACTGGAAGCTGCCACTTACAGCCTGAACTCGACTAGGTGCATTGTGCGTGCATTGTGTGTCTTCTCTGGGACGCGGGTTATTACCGTCGCAGCATGTCGGGGCTGAATAATAACATGTTTGCTAAAAAAGCCTCGTTAATAACAAACAAGAGCGGTATCCCCACAGTGCCTGATGTCATCCTCCCAACTGCTGGGTGGGGTTTGAGTCTTAACAAAACGTATGAATTAGAACAGCGGCAGGCCGATGAAGCCATTTTAAAGTGTAAGCAGAGCGTGGGCCAGCGGCGTAGGACGCAGTGCCTTTATTTCTTTCTTTTCCATGACTTTGGTTATTACTATTATAGCTTAAAGTAAAACATATAAGCTGAATTTTCCTGGGCACTGTTTCCCCCCCAGAATTTGTTCTTGGAAGCTCGGTAAAAGCAAGGAAAGTCACTTTTTCCATTGTAACCAATAGTCTCATTACTGTCAGATGTTTGTCCTGCCCGTTCATAAGTCACCGGACCGGCCCAGTTTAAATCAGAGAGTAACGTTCTCTGTCGACCAGACGACTTGTTGCAGCACTGTCGACAACCGACGGATATGAAGACTGATGATCTGACGGTTAATGGCCATGAATCCGTTTTCCACACTGACAACACAATATGCATTTTGTTCTTAACTCACATTTCATCAACAACATGTAGAATGCACATCAGCAGCCCACAGCCTGGAGATGCCGATACATTTACACTACAATACTGACTGCACTCCTGCAGAGGTATCTCGGTTTTAATTGAAGGTTTCTATTCCTGCACCATCAAACAGATGGAAACGATTGTCCTTTTATATCTGTGCAATTGTCAGAGTTGCAGCAGTTCCACGGGGTGCGGAGGTTCGAGCTGGAGCGCTCGTGCTGCTTCAGCGCTCTGCTGTTGGATGAGGAACGAGGCCGCCTCTTCGTCGGGGCCAAGAACTTCCTGCTGTCGCTGTCGTTAGACAACATCGCCAAGCAGGAGCACAAGGTTGGTCAGCACCAAAATACAGATGACGTGTCGAATCTTTATGAAGTTGTCAAAAAATATGTGAAAGTAGGGAAGGTTTGGTGATTAAACACTTTGCTGAGGTTTCAACCCTTTTACTCTTTGTTTTATTACACAGTATTTTAGTGGAAGACAATATGTTGAAAACAGACACGAGCTTCGCTTGGTTTGTCTCCAAGAAAACTTTGCTTGCCCTCTGTGCTTTATTAGTTACCATATGTGCCTCTTATGATCAAATCACTTTATTACTTTAGTTCGTGTTAACAACAAACTGCAGAGAGGAGATTATGCTGATCGAAATCAGGAAGTGTCTTTACAACCACTGCCATACTGTCTGATTCCTGAGAATCACCCGTTACTCTTAAGCCAAATGTGCTTCATGGGTTTGTTTTCATGTGGACCAAAAGGCACTGAGGAAAGAGAAATATTCAACTGTGGACACTTATTATAAATACGCTCCTTTGAAAATGACAGAATCATGTTTCTTGCACATATGTGATCACTTAAACGGCTTAATGTCAAACAATAGGAGAACGGTCAATGTGGGATTGATAGAGGAAGGTAGAAAGGAGCTGGAATGAGATGAAAAGACTGAATTCATTCAAAAAAACCTCATTGTGTTTGATATCTAGTGACATCGGTTTATTGAAACCTTTTCCTTTGGAGTATGTAGTCATAGCCACTGGAATACACACGAGCACATGAATACTAAAATGTACACAGTACCAACACAATGAGCGCACATAAATGCATAAAGGACCATAGATGTAAAAACAGCCCACATCTGTTCACAGCTGTTTGGAGTAAATTACATGTACTTCCCTGCTGCGCTGGATGTGAAGCCTCTGTTGGGTTGGGATTTATGGGCGGGTTTGATTTATGACCTGGGTGTGATTGGTAACCGTAGTTGGAGCTGTTTTTCAATGTGGTCGGGTCATCCTTCTTTACATGAGAGGGGAGAGTCAGGAGGTCCCATCTCAGGGGCATATTACTCATCAAGAGGGAACAAAGACCTGTTGTTTTTGCTGTTTAATACTTTAGAATTGTAAGATTTTATAGATTTTATCCAAACGCCCTTGTAATTAATTCAGATTTCAGGGACCGGATATTCTGACCTTTGGCTCTTGCGTTTCAGATCTACTGGCCAGCTCCTGTCGACTGGAGGGAGGAGTGCAACTGGGCTGGGAAGGATATCACTGTGAGTCTCTTCACACCTCTTAAACTGTGCATGAGCGCATATAATGGGAAATGTAAACCTGTATAAATCATAACCTAGGACATACATTGCACACAGAGATGAATAACGGGGCTGAGGAGCTCCTCGTGGAGGACTTTCATCTGCTAACTGGCACAACACAACACAATGCTACCGTTTAATCCACTGGAGTCATGGGAGGGATCACAAGACAGAAACACCACGTTTAAACTGATAACATGTTATAAAAGTTGCAACGCTCCTACCCTGTGGTGCAATCACACCCTCCAAATCTTTGTTCAAACGCTTTCTGACCGGCTTACTCAACATATCTTAAAGACATTTGTGTTTTCCAGTTGCATTTACACTCTTTTATTGTGTGCTTTGGCTTCATGAAAGAAACATTGTTCTTAAATGGGGACTCAGAGATACACAGGTCTTTGACACGTTAAGTTAGCACATGTATTGTAATATTGGGGGACAAACACAACCACAACTTCAGGTTAACAGAACATTGGCAACACAAATCACAAATTGCTAATGTAGATCGACCATTTTTACTTAAAGAAATAGATAAACCCAGTTAGAACATGCTGTGTTCTGGTGAAACCAGATTTCTATGTGCACATACATGTTTTAGAGCTTGCGTTTTTTACTTGAGAAACATAAAACAGGGACAGGAAGTATTGCTGTCAAAGCAATGCAAAGAAACATGAGGAACAATTGGAAGTGAAGCTTTCTAGAAAAATAAACTTTAAAGTTAAAGTGAAATGAGCAGTGGCTCCGAGAGGCCTGCAGTATTCCCCCATAAGGAGTTAAATATAGAAGCATCACAAAGCACTAATAAACTGTAAGCACAGTAATTAAGACATGACAAAGACAAAATTAGGTTTGAGGTACTGGACAAATCTGTTAATTAACCCACAGCATGTAAACACGTGTTACGTCAGGTTGCAGTGTGGCTTTAATTAACTGTTATTTTACAAGGAAGACACGATTGAGACTAAAGAGTATTTTTTCACTGCAAGAAACATTAAAGGAATCATTCAAAATTTGTCAGAAGATTATAACAAGCAGAAAATAAGTTAACAATAATTTAATTATTTATAAGGTAATTTTAAGCCACCAAGGTAACAACCTAACATTAAGTTAAGTATAGAAGTGAGTGTCCTTGACTGGGATTTAACTCTGATACTTAAATCTTATTGGTGGCTTTTATTTTGATTCTCTATTTTGAGCTACAGAAAACTAGCATTTATTTTCCAAGAATATGTTGAGTCAACAGCAAAAGTGAAGATTGTGTGTCTGAATGTGATGTGTGCGGACGGAGTCTGGCTTCACTGACCGACATATAGAGGAGAAGCCTGTAGACCACCCAGGACTGCCTCACACACAATTAGCCAACGCATATAGTTTGTGCGCTGCGTAGGTGTGTGCATGTGTGTGGAACAGTAACTGCCCGTCAATGCTTCCGGACACGCACAAATCTGCCAAATCTGCCTTTATTTATATATATATATATATATATATATATATATATATATATATATATATATATATATATATACACACTGTACATATATATAAATATACGGAGTCGACTGGTAAAATAAGTGGTATATACAGTTATATATTTGTATTATGTTGAAGTATTGGATGTGTGTGCGTCTGTCTCTGTGTGTGTAGAACAAGCCCTTCATCAATGTGATTACACAGCTGGAGCAGACGCACAACGAGCTCCATTCATTCAAAGCCCCAGTGTCCAGTTTCACCTGACCAGGAGTCTGTCTGACGCTGCCTTCAGGTTTCTCTGTGTGTGTGTGTTTGAAAGAGAGAGCAACAGTGGAGACGGAAGGAGAGTGATGGAGAAAAATAATACAATTGCTCCGGAGGAAGAAGGGGAGGAGAGGCGGGGGGAGGATGAGGTTAGAAAAAAATGCAATCAAACAGAATTAGGGGACATTTTGAAGACAAAAGTTACATTGAAAGGAGCTTTCCCCCCCCGGTCAGTTATTATTCTGGCTTTTCTGGCCTTTGTTATTTGTCATCCTTTATTCAACACACTCCCATTGACTTTTGGCACCTTTGTGAACGTTTACCCACACACAGAGAGCTGACCCGACCTCACAGCCTAATTACAGTGTTCACTGGATCTCTGGTCCTCCTCTCTGCACAGGCTGCTTCTCTGGGAAGTTTCTCGTGTGCTTTACAACCCCGTCAGTCCTCCCAATGTCACTATGCACTTGCTCGAGGAATCCTTTCTTCCTCGCGGCCGTCGTACCCTGATATTAGCCGTGTGTTGGAGCTTTTTTTACACAAAACTTGCAACGTTAGTTGAAGCAGACGTCTCATATTTCTTCTACTTTTTTCTTCTACTTTTTTTCGTTTGCTGTGATCATATCCGGTACAATTTATGCTATGTGATAAATTAAATTGCCAGCCACCATAAAAATAACTTTTCCAGCACAGCACACCGCATCATGGGAGCTCTCCGCATAAGGAATGTGACGGGCTGAAAAACGTGCCCATTGAAAGACGACTAAGAAGACTTCTTCTAAGACACATGCACCTGAACACGGTCAGAAGTAAACTGAGACACAAAAAAAGTGCGGTTTATGCTGTCACGTCCATTGACAGAGGAGGACACTGTGGAAAAGGAGGTCAATGTTGAGGTTGAGCGATGGCGTAAACTTATAACATGAATCCGTCCACTCCACAAAGAAAACAGCGTTGGTTGTCTGTTGAAAAGGGCTGAAATGACCAACGCTTTCACATTTTGTTTTCATGCCTGTATAGCTTTCCCTGAAAGCAGAAGGCGTTTGATTTGTAATGATGATAACGTCCGCAGTGTTTGACCCTGGATAACGCAGCTTCTGCCTCCTCTGGCCGGGGTTTCTTAGCTGAAAACATTGTGTTGCCTGTCATGAAAAGAAGGATCTACAGTCGTGTGAGAGGTTCTGTGAGGCTGCACTTGCGTCCATTTGGCGTCATGCTCACATTGACGTGCTGATTGGGAGGAACGAACAAAATAAGCTGTATTTAGTGCTTTAGGTAGTAGAAACCTGTGCTCATGAACAAGGGCGTTAACCCTCAACTATAGGTGAAGCCTTCTCCTGAAAACCACGGATTATTGGACTCTCACTGAATATAATTACATTACATTACAGGTCATTTAGCTGATGCTTTTATCCAAAGCGACTTACAATACATTTTAATCACTGAGTAGATCACTGTAGATCACTACTGGGAGGATAATTCCCTTTGCACACTCGACAACTCAGTGTTTCAATCCAACTAACCGGAAAAAAAAGGATTTCCTGCCCCACCTTGATGTGTTACTTAGTGATGTTATTACAGCTGAACAGATTGTTGGTCAGAGTGCAGAAATCATTCTTTCGCAGGAGAAAAATGTCAGACAAATGTCAATGCAGATATACGTTGTGTTTTCAGCAGAAGCAATCAGCATCCCCGGGATAATACACAGCGCTGTGTTGTGTAACTAATGCGTGTGTTCAGTCAAATGACTGCTTACATGGGTCGACAAAATATGAGGGCCAAATAAACGGGAAGAAAATGAGAGCTGTTGTTTTTAAATATCTGGAGATTTCGGTCACATTATCCAGTAAAACTAGATTCTAATACATCAAAAGAACAAAACTCAAGACATGTGGGGAACTTCCATTTTCTAAGTGTGAAAATCCTCACAATATTTAGCAGCTGACCTCTCCGTTTAACTATAAATCAATAGGTGACGTAATGCTTGAATGGAAGCCTGGCTAATGTGAGAGGGAGGGAGCCGATAGTGGCTGAAATAATAAATAGATAGATTGGGTTAATCATTTCTAGAAGGGAATGGATAGTGGAATAAAAGGAAAAAAGACATCCACTGAGGAACAATACAGCTTTATTAAACACGAGGGCGAGGACATAAAGCTCAGGCTGCAGTGAGGTCAGTGCCTGCATTTTGCTCACAGTCTCAACTAATGAGTCCGTGGTGGGTCAAAGGTCATCCAGTGAACCCTGTCACACCCACTCAGACGCACACACACACACACACACACACTGAGGATGCGTGATGTCTGGCATAATTCACCTCCCTTGTCCTCCTACTTCCTTTCTGATCTTTTCAAGGTCTTTCAAGCGTCTTCTTACCTTTTCTTCTCCTCCTTCTTGCCGCATCAAAGAAGTTACTTTGTCAAACCAGTGGTGCGCTGACTCCTTCACCTTCCTCCGCCCCCCCCCAACACAGACGAACACACACAATGGGAGTGAGGTGGAGCACGACAAGTCTTCTACAGACACACACACACACATTGGGCATCTTGGCAAGAGGGTTGATTGAAACGTGGCACGAGGAGGCCGCCGAGGTGTGTTGGTTCACATCCGCGTCGCGCCGGGTGGAGGCAAAGGTGGAGAGTGTGTACCTCTTGCTTTCAAAATGGAAACAGAGGACTCCTGTGTTTGTCAACAGCTTAATCGGCCCGTCGATTGGTTGAACGCCTTCACGTGGTCACACGTGGAAACGTGTATGCATACATCACACACACCAACCACTCAGACTCTCACCCCGAGTGGTTTTCAAAGGCTGAAAAGCCGGCCTTTGTTCTAAACCACTGAGGTGAGTGTGTGTAGGTGTGTGTGTGTGTGTGTGTGTGTGTGAGTGTTTCCAGGCCTAATGAGCCATAATTCCGCTTGCTGCCGCTTTCACAAACCGGCCTGTCCGTCACCCTCAGGTGACGCTTACAGAGACTGAACAAATTCCCAATGAATGGCAGCTGATTAAAGAAGAGAGTCGAGATAACACAAGATGGAGAAATGCTCCATCGTAGGAAAACATTATGCATTATTATTATAACATTATTATCTAGAGAATGTATTTGGATTGAAAGAAAAAAAATATTTAAGAGTCTCCAGACTTTGGAAGCAGGGCAACTATTAATTGACAGTCCGATTCATGTATTTATGAACCTCTTCTCCAGTCGGTCCCGGGGGTTCAACAGTGTCGGTAACTTGATCCACTTTCGTCTCCACAATGGACGAACGGGAGACGTCAGAGCCAGCGTTTCTTAACAGCAAGACATTTATCAGTATACAGTTTTTTTCCAGTTTGCCATTTCCAAGACAGATGTTCAAAAGCATTACATGAGCTCATCGCGTCTCGCCAATGTGAGGGACATCCTGATTATCACGTATCGATCTTCTCTTAAAGGGTAAAAACAGGTCGATGTCATCTATGTCTGTTGTGCTGATCAGTGCCGTTGCCAGAGACGTTAGTGCACCGTAAATATCTCCAGCTGACTCCTGAGATCCAGCTTACTGTAATCTGATCCCCAGATGTGGTCAATAACCTGCTCTCCATGATATGAAGAGGAGGGATCAGACACAAAAAAGGATACTGAAAGTTGAATACGTGGAGGATTAAAGAGGAAGCGATAAACAATATTTTAACCAATCTATTCAGAATTCATCAAATGCTCTCTTCACATCATACATCAAACACATTTGAAATAATAAGTGTACTAACATTAGTATTTTACGTCACAGGGTATGATTCATTAGCCTATACAAACTTTACTACAGTAGCCAGGTTTGTCGATGCAGAATTGTCTGTGTGTTAAACAATATCCAGTTAACCAGTAACATACATCTTGTGTAGTTCACGGTTTCAGGCACTTTTTTTCATACCTTTGACTGTTGTGTGAGTTGAAATGGAGCTTTGTATGTACAGACACACACACAGATTGTATGTGTGTGCAGCGAGAACACAGAGGCTGTCACAACAGTGTGTCGGAGGCGGAGTTTGGGACTCAGTGTTGTCACAGGCAGCGAGGGTGAGATGAGCTATGTGAGGAATGTTCATCACTAAGCCTAAAAAAAAGAGTCAGAGTTTTGTAAGTTGTTCTAGTGTTTGGGTTTCTTTTCTTTCGTGGTCATGGTATCATGATTTAATACTAAAATGAGCTGCAGTTAACTTTATATTGCACTTCCTTGGTGTTTTTCATTTTTGTTTGAGTGAACTAATGTGGCATTTTGACAGGTTGTATAAATTGTACAATTTTTGCCATTTAGATTTATGTCAAAGGGTAAAGCAGTATTTACACAATGGACCTCCTGCGTGTGTCTAAAGCCCCCGAGCAGCATAATCTAAAACTGTATTTATGTTTGTGTTGCAGTCCGACTGTGTGAACTATGTGAAGATTGTGCACCACTTCAACCGCACCCATCTCTACGCCTGTGGAACCGGGGCCTTCCACCCCACCTGTGCCTTCGTGGAGGTGGGACACAGGATGGAGGTGAGAAAAACAACACACTGACTTGGATACTTGGAAATTCCAGTATTATAGTTGTTATTGTTGCTTATTTAATTACATAATACCATCTAGTCAATGGAAACAATTTCTCAAACAACATTTGCTTCTGCCAACCCCCCCTTTAAGTGACAAGTCAACCCCAAATGTCAGGACCTCAAAAACGAAATGCATGTTTAAAAAGATATTATGTTCACATCCAACATTTAAAATGGCTCATGCTTGGAAAGCTTAGCATAGCAAAATGTACTCAAACAAGCGGAAATCTACACTGACACTCAATTCCCAATATTTCAACCCCCAAATCATGTGTGATTTTGACAAAAGGTAACAAAATGTAGATGTAATATCACTTTAAAACATCCCTCCATGTCCTCTCGCTCCATCAGGACCACGTGTTCAGGATTGACCCCTCCAAGGTCGAGGATGGGAAAGGGAAGAGTCCGTATGATCCTCGCCACAACGCTGCATCTGTCCTCGTCGGTAACTAACGCAACAAAGCACATTAATATCAGCTGGTTACCCATTTACTAGAAAACCCAGCCGAACCGAGCCGGTTATGATGGACGATTCATTCCGTCTCCTAGGTGATGAGCTGTATGCAGGCGTGGCCACAGACTTAATGGGACGGGACTTTACCATCTTCAGAAGCCTGGGGAAACGCCCCCTCCATCCGCACAGAGCAGCATGACTCCCGCTGGCTCAATGGTCTGTGTGTGTGTGTGTGTGTGTGTGTGTTTTAATGATGAAGTAATCACTTCCCTTTTCAGTTGACTTCATTTCATGTCATAACAACTTGATGGAGAAACTGACATTGTTTGTGTCTGTTTTCCTCGACCAGAACCGAAGTTTGTTGGTTCCTTTTGGGTCCCAGAAAGTGAAAACCTGGACGATGACAAGGTTTTCTTCTTCTTCCGTGAGACGGCGGTTGAGGCCCAGGGGCTGGGAAAGTCCACCTACTCCCGCATCGGACAACTCTGCAGGGTGAGACGGATATTTCATCGACCAAGTCTAGCAGTCTAACACACCACAGTAAAGACTGTCACTAAATTCTTACAGATAATCTGTTAAAACAACTGCTTTTTCTTTTGTCTTGAATAAGAACGACATGGGCGGTCAGCGAAGTCTGGTGAACAAGTGGACGACATTCCTCAAAACCCGTCTCATCTGCTCGGTGCCCGGAGCCGACGGCAGCGACACGTACTTTGATGAGCTGCGTAAGTTCACATACACCCATTTGTTACTTAATCAACTTGTTAATGGGTACAATGTTGTCAAACGCAGCATGGTGTCGTAGCAATCGGTGCGTGAAGTGAAGTTAAAGTCCTCATGTGTGGATTTTGGGGATTGCAGAAAGAAGCCTGCATGTAGGAACTCAACTGCAGTAACAGAAGGGTTGAACCTGTCTAGGTTGTTAGTTGCAAGAAGCTAAATAAATAGATGATGTTTAGACAGATTTCCCAGCATTCTGTTCAGTTGACAGAAGCATAAATAAACTCAAGGAAAAGTTTAGAAATGAAATAGGCTATTTGAACTCAAATGAGGCGTTGAGCCATTCTTGCCCACATTCCTGCTGACTTAGAGATATTAAGAGTTTGAGGCCGTTGGCTCAAAGCTTAAGAGAAAGTTGCAGACTCATACCTGGTGAGTTTGTGGATGACAAAAGGCCATAATATGTTTTCATTAGGCGAAATCCAGAAGTCAACAGTTTTCCCTTCGCTAACTCTGTTCATGTAAATGTCCAATCAAAGCGTAGCGACTGCATCGGGCAGGACCGGCTCATCGATCTCTGGATCCGTTGACGTGCTGAGTATTGTCTGAGCAGTGTAAAGAGGGTGGTGTATGGAATGTTTGCATTTCAATATATAAGGACTTCCAATGGGAAGTTGCAGGATGATACACAAACATCTCACAAAGACAAACACAGAATCTCCAGTCATGTTGTTTGCACACCAGTAGGTTTTTAATCTACCTTTTTGAACAATCCTCGGGCCTTAATATGACGTCTTGGTGCTTATGTTGTTACGCAGTGAAAGCTGAACTAAGTGGAAGAATTCGTCATGACCCATTAGGCTCAGTCTGAGTCCGTCACATTGCCTCGTGTGAACAATGAGACTCTCTCTAAGGACCTCCCTGTAAAAACAGCAAAACTTCAAATCCAAAACAGTAGAAGACTTTTTTAACTACAACATTGTATGACACATACGCCAGGTCTTGGAGATGCATCTCATTTTGTAAAACACTACTTTAACCACACTCAATCTTGATGACAACTAGAAAAAATCCACTGCTCGAGGCTGCGGGGAATTTGGTTCCATGTTATGACAGATATTTGCGAAATACCTGTTTAAAGTAAATATTGCCAAGGGCCTTTGCTTATCTTTCTCTTAACCTTTGACCTCTTGACTACCACCACCTGACCTGTGTGTGTGTGCGTGTGTGTGTGTGTCCTCAGGCGATGTCTTCCTGCTGCAGACGAGGGACAGAAAGAACCCTCTAGTCTACACAGTCTTCTCTACTTCCAGGTCAGAGTCCATTCACATTGCGTGTGTTTGTGCAAAAGAGAGAAAGAAAGAGAGGCAGACAGGTCTGTGTGTGTGTGTGTGTGTGTGTGTGTGTGTGTGTGTTCAGGACTTGTGGGGACATTAGTCTGATTACACATTCACAGTGTCGGTACGCGTGACAAAATCTACACCTGAGCATCATAAATCATTAAATCCTTTGGTGAAGACTTGGTTTAATGTTAGCGTAATGAGAGGGTTCACCTTAAAATGTAGCTTGATGTAAGGTCAAGGGTTAGGTTTAGGCTGGTGATGATTACCGTTAGGGTTTTGGGTAATTCTCGAGTTAATGAACGTAAGTCGATGTAATGTCCCCAAAAGTCATGTGTGTGCGTGTGTAATGGATGTTTCTAACCCAGCGCCCCCTGTTCCCCAGTAGCAGTGTATTTAAAGGCTCAGCTGTGTGTCTCTACTCCATGAACGACATCCGGAGGGCCTTCCTGGGGCCCTTTGCTCACAAGGAGGGGCCCAACTACCAGTGGGTCCCCTTCCAGGGAAAAGTCCCCTATCCACGACCAGGAATGGTATGTCGACATGTCCTCCTTTCCGTTAAAGGTCTTAAACTGTAAAAATACAAAGTTGGACAGATTTCAATACAAACTCATATAATATCCTTGTGAAATGTCTTAGCAGCACTTATTTTACAGTATTAGACATAATTCAATCCCAAAGCTCTTCACAGCCATCTCAATCAGTACGTTCTCATTAAAGCTCTTACGTTCCACCAGCCTGCCAGCAGAGCGTCAGAAGAATTTGTTATGCAAAGCTTCAGCTGTTACAGCCTCAGCAGAACAATCCCCATTGTATGACCGCAGAATAGTAATTGCACTTGGCCTACAGTAAACCTGCTCTCACGCCATCATCAACTCACTGGGTTGTACAATTAGCGGAAATCATCAGAATAACAGACCCAGTTTTGACAAAATTAATCAAAACTGCATAGAAAGTAGATTCAGCGTGCATGAATCAGATCAAAGGTTTTTCCACTTTATTTACTAGCGCTCCTCCTTTGCACACCGTCAAAAAGTAAGAAAACTGCATGATACCAGAGTGTAGGTTTGTATGCTCAGAGAGGGACCTGAGGAGGAGATGATATCTCACACCTTTGAGACCCGTCCCAACATAACACCTCTCTGGTAACAAACTTTTTTTCATTGCCCTCCCACAGTGTCCCAGCAAAACATTTGGCAGTTTTGAGTCCACAAAGGGTTTCCCAGACGACGTGATCCAGTTTGCACGTCACCACCCTCTGATGTACAACCCGGTCTACCCAATGAGCAGACGGCCCGTCTTTGTCAGAACTAACGTGGATTACAGCTTCACCCAGATCGCCGTGGACAGAGTCAACGCAGCCGATGGACAATACGACGTCATGTTTATCGGCACAGGTGAATAACTAACAGCAGTTTTTACTTTAAACGTGAAAATAAAGACATGCTGTGGTGTGAGGTGTGATTTGATGAAATGCATCTTGCATTTCAGACAAAGGGACAGTACTAAAGGTGATCAATGTCCCCAAGGAGAGCTGGAACAACATGGAGGAACTCCTACTGGAAGAGCTTGAAGTCTTCAAAGTGAGAAAACTATGATGAAGCTAATTGGTTGTTAAGCTGCATATTGAGAGCATCTTAAAACACCTCTTTTTAATTATGCAAGTGTATTCATTTTCTGTGTCGCATAGTAGTTCATTTCCTGTATCTTGTGTGTTCTAAAGGACGCCTCATCTATTATCGACATGCAGATCTCCTCAAAACGGGTATGTTTGCTTTAAACTCAACATGATTGAAGTTAGGTGGATCGTTTTTCGGTCCCAGGCAGAACCTGGACATGGGAATGATGGGATGAGCCTTTAGCAGTTAACAGGACGAATGTCCTTTTGACATTCAGGTACAGCGTCCCAGAGTCTAGGAACAGTTTCTGAGTGTGCTTCCGTCGTTTGCTTTGGTGACTGTATGAGTTACTACAGGTTAGTTAACTATGGAAAGTTCCTGCTACGGGCCGCAGTGAATTTATGCTTAACCACATCAACAACAACAATGACGCAAGAACGGGAGTTCGAATCAGTGTGTCCTTGTGAATCCTCAAATGTGTCCCTCCCCTCGGTGTCCCCACAGCAACAGCTGTATTTGGGCTCGGACACGAGCATCGCCCAGGTTCCCCTCCACCGCTGCAGCGTGTACGGGAAGGCCTGCGCCGAGTGCTGCCTGGCCAGAGACCCTTACTGCGCCTGGGACGGAACGTCCTGCACCCGCTACCTGCCAAACACCAAGAGGTCTGTGTCACACAAGCGTCATCCAACATTTTAACCAGGAAAAACATCCTTTGCACGAATGTAAATTCCTAATGTCGTAGTAATTTGTAATCCTCCATTTACAGACGTTTCCGTCGTCAGGACGTGAGAAACGGAGACCCCAACACCTTGTGCTCTGGAGGTATTTATCAAAGACTGTTGTCTTTTGTCTTGTTGTTTAATCTGATACAAACACAACGGCTCTGCAGCTGTTACCAGTCATTTTTAGATTAGTGAGGACATTCAAAAATCAAGCTTTACCCCGATCCTGCTCTGACTCGGAGGCTCTTGGCATCTGACATCTCAGTGTGAGACAGACAAAAAATCAAACCGTCCTTTGCCCTTCACTCTGTGGTGACCTCTGTCTTCTCACACCACAATACCAGCATTCTGCTATCGTCTGGTTTTCTACCACATAACTGAATCAGGCAAACCGTTCAAACTCTGTAAGCTCTTGGGTGATACAACGACATCATGTGGCAGGCAAGCCGGTGGTGGAAAACAAACTACGGTCAGGGTAATTGAGTCTGATCCTTCGGGGGAAAGGCGCTCTCACCAGAGCTCAGTTCAGTTTCATCATTTGTTACATGCTGGTCGTTGGAAACAGAATTCTTCATATTTTGACCCAATCAGGGTCTTAATGCTTCGATATATTATTGTGAATCTTTCTTCGGATTTCACGCTCCTACTCTGACTTGTGGCTTAGGTGGATATTTTGGGTGCAGACACGGATCCTTTGTCATTGCTAAAACTCACCACTCATTTTGACAACATGGGTTGATAAGTAGTACCAGAACCAGAAGAGTCTTTGTTTGGTGTCGCCAAAAATTGTGTTCAGATATTCACAATTGTTCTGCAGGATGCAGAGTGAGTGAGAAGAACTTTCCTATCAACAGCCAACTGAGGCTTCAATGAATCAAGTTCAACTAAGATTAGTTATAACACCTATGTTGAACTAAGAACTACTGTGGTGTACATCTTTATTAATATTTGAAACAAATTCCATGACATTAGACTTAACATTAGCTGAAGGTGTCATATTATCTTTCCCAGGTCTGACCTACTCTGGTCTTTCCTTCCCTGTATGGCCTTTTCCATTTTTCAGCGTCTTATCTGTCCTGTCCTGCCCTCTTCTGGCTTTTTAATCCTTGACTGGTCCTGGATCGTTAAAGGTGAGCAGAGCCCTCGGTTACGATAGATCTCCTCATGCCCTTGTCTCTGCTGCCCCCTGCAGACCACCATAAGCACCGCGTGGCAGAGAGGAAGCTGTATGGAGTTGAGGGAAGCAGCACTTTCTTGGAGTGTATCCCAAAATCCCTTCAGGCCAGAGTCACCTGGACTTTCCAGAAACATCCACAGAACCCGCGTGAAGAGGTGAGAGGGATGGCAGAGGGGTTACAACTAAGATTTCTGACGGGAGCATTGACTACACAGACAAAAGGTTTTACATGACTGCATATATTTCACAATATGTATACATGTATTATGAGTAATCTTTATGTTTTGTCCTACATGACGTTGTTGTCAAGACTTGCCATTTAAATTTGTATTCTTGTTGTTGACAATAAACTGCAACGGCTACAACAAAATCCTTTTAGCTTTTTTCAGTCAAATGCCAACATAGACGGATCAGCATTTAGATCTATTCTGCTCTTCAGCAGTTAATGTGTGATTTAAAATGGCTTTTAAATGGCATAAAGTTCCGCTCCAACATGTTGCTGAAGTGGTTTCTGTTTTCCAGCTGCGTCTGGATGACCGCATCCTGCTGACAGACAGAGGCCTCCTGATTCGACGCGTGCTGAAGAGAGACGTGGGCGTCTACCAGTGCCATGCCATGGAACACGGCTTCACCCAAACATTACTGGGCATCACCTTGGAAATTGTACCTTCAACCTCCTCCTCGGCCTCCAATCTACCCTCTGACGCCCCCGTCCGACTGGACCCCCGCAGCGGAGCTGGGCCCCCAATGACCAATCAAAAGCTCTGGTATCGGGACTTCATGCAGCTGGTGGACCACCCTAACCTGAGCACCGTCGACCAGATTTGTGAGCAGGTCTGGGCACGAAAGAATGCCGGCAGTGAGCAAGGAGATAAGCCCTTCCCTGCTCCGGGGAAGGACGGCCCTCACGCCGGCCCCGCTGTCCGCCCACCTAACAAGAAGTGGAAGCACTTCCAGGAGATGAGAAAGGGGAGGAACCGCCGGACCCACGACGGGAAGCCGAATCCTCGGGCGCCTCGCAGCGCAGGGGAGTAACAACGTCAAGAAAGACATGGAGGGGAAAAGAATGACTAATGGAAGGAAGAAAAGAGGAAAAATGATACAGAGAGAGAGAGAGAGAGAGACTGAGAGATCAAGAACTCCTGGAGGCGTTCACACATACAGACACAACCACGTACAGAAGAACACATGCAGACACACACACACACACACACACACACAGTACCTCCTCTATTGTGTATAGATATCCATGGATGCCCCCACTATTTGGTACCCAAATCTCTGGTCCTCGTCCCACTGGCCAGCTCCTGCATGTGTTGCCTTACAGCCCAAATTCATTCTGCACGATCGCTTTACACTGTTCCACCAGCGTAGTCAAGGTTACATGCAGGTACGTGGGAGTGAACCCACCTGTACCTGCGGGAAATAGACCTTTACTCACCTGTCTTCCCTGCTGCCGCTGACTATATAAGGAGAGTTAGTTGACACCACAGAAACCCCAATGTTTAGCTGCCGTCTACATAGTGTTATATGTGGGTAGTAACTACTAATAGTAGTATGAACATCTGAGCTTTGGACTGCACCGCTCTGAAAAAAAACAGCCCCCCAGTGAGGGATAAACTCTGCTCACGACTTTCCTTGCCTAAAGATTTCGTAACGACGTAGAAAATGGTGTGTGTCAACGAGGGAATGGAGAAACTGGAATATACTGGAAATGAATGGTCTCTAACTGGAAACAAATTTGAATGCAACTATTTACGTGCAAAAGCGTTCGGACACACAAACACTTTAAAACGTTGTTACTATAGGAACAGATTAATTGGTGCTCCTGTTGCACATATAAAAACTCACGTTTCACATGTTTGTGTGTGCAGAAACAGTCACGGAGGAGGTGCAGATGTCAGCAGTGTGGATTAGCCTGTGGAACAAATCAGCATGTGGCAAAACTGGTTATATTATATAGTTGTTTGTTTTTGTGGTTTCCTTGGGCACATTGAGGCATGTAGCAGCAAAATAAATCACACAATACAATGCAATTATGGTTAGAGAGCGGTCGATTGTGGCAAGATATAATTATATTGCTTTACTGGTCTAAAAGATATTCCAGGTTGTGAGGGAAGGATGAGATGTTTACAGTAAACAGAAAAGGCAGAAGCACAAATATTGAAATCTGTAAAAGCAAATAAAGCCCAAACATACCTGGATTACTTCTAGACACCTTGTAACATCTTTCACAGACACAAGAGCTTTGATATGATCTAAACAGTACTCTAAAAGGAGCTATTTATTGTTTTTGTTTCTGGCTGTATTTAATGTTTTGTGCATTAACATGAAAGATAAATCACAAACAAGGTGGTTTGGGTGGGAAACATTGACACGATGAGGAGGTAGAGGGAAGCTGACTCTGACAAGACAACCCATGTTTCTGGGCTACAGGACGATATATATAAAATATTAGCATGTTATTTATGAGTTAAACTATGATTTTGTCTTGTATTTTAAGCGGTACTTCAACTTCTCGCTCTTTTACATTGTTCTTGCATATGTTTGTGAAGAATAGGTATATTCACAATGATATGAGATGAATTCCTCATTCAACACGGCAACATGTACAGAAGGCTGTTCTCTGCTTCCCAGAATGCATTTCAACCTCCCTCAACAACAAAACTTCCATCTGACTTCAAACACTGTTAGAATCACTTCTCAGTGCAACAGTCACTAATAACATGGCCTTCTGCGGATTAAAGATGTCATCTTTTCCCTACGGACAGTTAGTATGATCCTTCTCTCTGTGTATTATCTGTAAAGAAAGCTTTTTTTTGCTTGTCTGTGTTAAAGTGTAGTATGTGCCGGCCTCCTCAGTGTCCATTCTGTGTACACCCTCGGGCGAGGAGCCGACCTTTGGTACCATACTTTATAACACCATAGTCTGAAAGAAAACAACTGGCCATGTTGGACGGAAGATGAATTTGTGTTGTTGCGTTCATGACTCTCTATGATGAATTCAGAAGTCTGGTGGTACGGTGTTCAGCATGCTGCAATCGGTGAAAGTCCGCGACAACAGCGGCATCACAAACTAGGTCCGCGAGTTCATTCTAGATGTATGCATTCATTGTCGTTGTTATTTATGTACCTTCTTTATAGAGATGTAATTAACTCTTTAAACTGAACTGAACTGACTGGCTCCTGTAAAAGAGACACTCTGCACTTTGACACCACATCCAGGATTTACCGCAAAAGGATGTGGCTGCTTTTCTGCATTTAAACCGTAGAATGAATTTAAGTTGTAGGCTACTATTGATTAACTAAAATTAGATTATTAGTTGCGTACTGCTTTTCCACGGTTGTGATGTCAAATTAGCTTGGGTGTCTCTTTTCAGCAGTTGTTTTGTGCTCTTTTGAAATTGCATGACCAATTCTGGTGGCTGGCGCGTTTGACAATGTGGCAAGAAAGAGCGGCAGAAAGAAAGCACAATGCTAAATATTATTATCATTCCTTTGTATTTATGTGCAAAGCTAAGCTGATATGTTGTGGTGGATTTTTTTATTTGTATTATACATTTACAGGTGTTGTTCGTGTCTGCTGAAAAAGGACTAGTCCTCAAAAAACAATTGGCCACTACAGCTGATGGTGAGAAAAAAAAAGAAGCTACATCCTTTGTTGTTCACATGCCCTCCAATCAACACTCCTGTTGTATCCCATGTCATGTGACGCACCCCTGCAAGACAGCTCACAAGAAGAGGCGTATGTGTGCACGTGTGTGTGAGAGGAAGAGAGAAATGTGTGCTTGTGTTTTTATGCGTGTGAGCTTTGGGGAAAGCAGATCTCTGTATATAGAGGCAAAGGGAACAGTAGTGTGTGTATCTGTGTACAGAAGTCTAAAGTTGAAAGTTCAAAGGTCGAAGGCCAAAGTTAACGTGGTGCACTGTAATACTCCCAGAGGTCTTTGTGAAATGTCATGTCAGATTGTTTTTGATTAACACAATAAAATGATGCAGTTACTTTAAAATCAAATTGCTGATTTCTTTTTGTAAGACAGTGTGGGAAAAATAATAACAGCATAGCAGTTTAATTATAGTAACGACTCACAGCCGTTACTATAATCAAACTGCTGGAACTGCTGGAATGATTGACACTGGCAAAGGTGAGTGAAAAATTATAAATTATAGGTAGGCCTGTTGATATTAATAATAATATTAATAATAATTGTGTGCAGCACTTAATAAAGGTCTAATAAATAGGCCTATAAAATAAATAAATAAATAAAAAAAACATTGAAATTATAATGTAACATGTATTGTATATGTATGTATAACATGAATAACAGAACAACTAGCCAGCTCTTATAACTTGACCTCCAGGTGAGCATGTTCAGTAAACATTTTTTAGGTCAAGGTGAAAATGAAATGAGCAGTAGGCTCAAAACTAAAGCACAACCATGATACAGAATAATGGGAATAAAAATCAGTAGTATATGTAGGTGAGCTGGATTTGCACACTTGATGTATCTCCTCTCCTCACTTCAGGGGCCCTTCTGTCAAATTTCCACGCCTATTTTGATTAATATGTGCGAGGGAAAGAAAGCAAGACAGCGCTTAGTTTGGAGACAGTGAAGGCTCCGAAGACAGTGAGTGCGGCGCACGCGACCGTCTCTCTCTCTCTCTCTCTCTCTCTGCTAACTTGCAGCTCTGCTACAGTAGCAGATCACTTTAACGTTACATGCCGGGAACATCGTCTCTAAACAGTCCGCTCACAGTGAAGTCCTGCGCGAAAGTTTTTTTTTTTTTTTAAGAATTCACCAACAGTGCGAAACATTTCGGCACAGAGGGAAAAAAAGTCTGCGAGTGACAGTACAATTACATTATGGAAGTAACTTGCCAACACTGTCAGCACCGACTTCGCCTCAGGCAACATCGCAACAAGTGAGTGAAGCGGAAGTGAACTGCACGTTATGCCATGACCACTTTTGGGGATTGCCTCATTGGGCCGGTTGAAGTAGTGGGGCAGAGGGGCTGGGGGGCCAGTCAAAGGGGGGTGGCGGGCCTGAGTCGGCCCGCGGGCCGTAGTTTGGTGACCAATGCTTAATATGATCTTGATTTCCAGTGGATTCTGCCAGGTTCTGCAGTTCCACAATTTCAGTCTCCAGATCTCTCATAGATCTGGTGATGTCACGTGTGACATTTAGAGTGTACTGCTGACAGAGCGGCTTTATCTCTATTTCCCCCCGATCCCAGCACTGTTTCAAAGAGGTAAAACTATGCTTTGTTTCTTTAAAACTGTTCCAAAACGTGCATCTTCTAAGAAAGACGTGTTAAAATGCCAGTATGCACTTTTCGACCTCACATTTGGGATAAAAACATCGCACAGAACCAGAGCACGGTCAAGATGTTGAAGTGATTTTTAAAACAATAAAACCTAAAATTAAATTCCCTCTGGAATGAGCCCACATGTACTGTCTGTCGTCTCCATTTCCCCTCCTCCAGACATCGACCATCTCATGTTCCTCTACCAGCTGCCTCAGTGCTCTTTGTGAAGGCCCGTGAGGTTCCTGGTGGTTACTATCTTTTTCGTCATCCTCTGTACAGTTAAAATCCCCTCCTAGAAACAAGAAATCCTCCACCTTCACTCTGTTCAGCACACTGCTTAAAACGTTTAAAAAGACCACTCGTTCAGGCCCAGCGACAGGTGCATACAAGTTTACAAAGACAAAATTAAAGCGTCCAAGTTTTGCCCTCACCACCAGCAGCCTGCCCTCCACCTTCTACTCCACCTCTAGAGCCTCTGGGGCCCATCTTTTGGAAAACAGGATCCCCACCCCCCCACTGGTGGTGCTCTTGTGGCTCCACCTCGCCCCCCACTCTCTCTTCCCTTTGCCTTCCTCACTTTCATTAGCTGGTGGAGTAGGGACCACTTTACAGAGTCTCGGGCTTCATTCATATTCAGTGTGCATACGTTTAACAGACTCATAGTTAAATAAATTAAAACCAACAAACAAAACTTTGCCTTTGACTTGAAGAGGATCTGTGTGATCCTAATATTCGTCATCCCCATCATCATTGTGATTTTCCTTGTTTATTTTTTAAACTAACTTTAAGGTAAAGTTATTAATGACAATGTGAGGATTTGTTGCATTTTATGCTTTTAGTTTCTGCCAATATGAGATTTCATGAATGAAAAAATAAGTGAATTGAGAGACAATCACTAGAGCGTTTTAACAGGAGTTCATATATTTACTTTATTCCTCTTTCTAGTCCTGAATTCTTAATAATTGCATTCTTGTTTTCGCCACATGGTGGCAGCTACTGTGTAACAGACCTGAAATCTAGATGTTCTTGTTTGCTGAACTCTTCACCATTATGCAAAAAGTTGACATTAACAAACATTCACAGGAAACACAGTTACCAGTAAAGCAAAATATGCTCCTAGTTCTTTCCTCAAAACATAGACATTCATCTCACGCGGGTTATAGTAAAGTATTTTTCTCTTTAGGTTGGACTCTGTGTCATGCTTCAGTTTGTTTGTCCCTTTTTCAAGTCATGCACATGTGAGCTGTTGTTAAAAAAATAAACACAAAAATAAAAAGCATTCACATATGTTAAGTACTCAGTGACGCATAAACACACACACGAGTCATGAACAAAAAATGTAATTCTGTTCTTATAACTCCGACCCAGTGGCCTCAATTTTCATTACACGTGTGTGCGAGTGAGAGAGCGAATGAGTGAGTGAGTGAGGTTCTTCAATGTGTGTGTTACCTTGTTTTTGTATGCTGATTTTACTGGTTACCTTTTGCCATTAATGTGTGTCCATGTGTCATTGTACTTTGTGAGGACATTTTGCAAAGTAATGGACAATACTTGAATTCCAGCTTCGAAAAGCAGTTTAGACTGTTTAGACTGTGACAGGAGATTTATACATCCAGAGAGAACACAACAGGATACAGGGGACAGAGAGGCACGGCAGCCACAGTACACACAAACGGACACACAAAATGACTTTTAGCACAGTTGGCATAATGTTGTAATCAGGACACCTTGTCCAACATCCGTTGTGTAGTTTTTACATTTCCACATAAAGATGGCAGTCAGAATGGCTCAATGGATCAATACAGTTCTCAGTGAGCTCATGAAATTACCTTCATTCCAAAGAAATAACTTTGACATGAAACTATAAGACACAGCTCTGTTGTCTGTTGGAGTGTTTTGCTAAAAAACTGGTAGGTACCTCAGTGCACTGAGCATGACCAGTATTAAATGTGCTTTTAGAGATTTGCAAGTTTAAATCTCCATTGTTTGATGGAGCCAATAAAAACTCACGAGACAACAAGTCTTTTTGGCCCATTTCTCTCAGCAGCTACTGTAAAGTATGCTTTCTTCACAAAAAGGCATCTTTTTCCATTTCCAGTTCCATTTACGGTGTGTATCCCTTTGATTGCATCCCTGTCGTCTACAAGGTACAAGCTGTATGATGCAGTTTCAATGAATCATTAAAAAACAAACTTTTTTTAACAATGAGGTGGATAAATATATATATAATATGATTATGATGGGTAGAGCTCCCCCTCCCTCTACCTGTTTGGCCACACCACTTTAATTAGTGACAGGTGAGGCCAGATTACTTCCTGGTTTGAATGTAGGGTTTGCCCCAGGTTCCCGGAGCTCCACACTTGTCTCGGGAACGACTACAGCTGGTCTGGGCGCAGGACTGGGCGCTGAAGGGGACTAGTCGTAGAGCTCCCACCCAATCTGTGCAATCTCCAGGTGTGTCTGTTTTTGTAGTAGAGCGGGGGTTTTGGGGGGTTTTGTTTGGATATGTAGTGATGGCAAAGTGAAGCTTTCCAGCCAATTGTATTGGAAAAAGGTTCATTCATTCAATGCATCGCAAACTCTATGATGACCTCTGCTGTTGAAAACTTGTAGTGCAAATGTTTTGAATAGCCTACCAGTAAATTTTGGCCCAATCTCTGATTATAAAAAGATGAACCAATAAATCATCTAATAAATAAATGTATTCCTATATGAATAAAACTATTGTTTTTCAGGTTTGTGTCCTTGTTTGTGTATTTCAATTCTCTGTACATTGGAAAGAAGTGGAACAAACACTTATCTATGTCTTTCTGCACCTTTGTGCATGTATGTTTGTGATCATACTAGCAGAAGAATTATTAGAAGATATATATATGACTTATATGTAAGCAATATAATTTAAAATACCAGCAAGTGTTTCCTACTGCATGTGTAGTTCATGGCAGTCATAGGGACTTATGTGAATTGTTTGAATGTGGGAAGTGATTTGCAGAGGAAAGGTCAGTGGGGCAGTGATTGTGCTTTTGGACAGGTTTCTTATGACAGGATATTGAGGTGTTTGTGGACACGTGGGGATGGGGCTTGAAATTATTATTGATTTTTATTGAGAAACACAATTTTCTCCACAGTATTGGGGTTGAGTCGGTTTCTTAGATACTGTTTCTCCAGCTTTAGAAAAACCGCGCTCACGCGGCACGATGAGGCAGGAATGCTCATAAGATTACGTGCTAATACAAATAGATGGTGGTACACATGTTTGTGTTTGACCCAATATTTTAGCGGGTCTTCATTCCGTGGAATGTTTGGTTGAGCCAAATATCGGGTGGTCTCCACAATAAAAATAAACATCCATAATTACACAATACAAATGACAGACTTTGCCTGCCTATTGCTAACCTTGTTAGAGGAAATCAAATTGAAGTGCTGCCACATCTCGGAGCGACCTCTCTTTGCCACAGGTTCCATTGTAAATTTGCTCTTTGCTACAACTACTACAACAACAACACTGAATTTGACTGTATCAAACCGACAAGCCCGAACCCTTTTTCCAGCCCATTTCAATCAAATCGAAGCGGTCACTGATGACATATTTCGACACAAGCTGCAAAGCAGGAGGGTCGGAGGTAACAACACTATGGATATGCTCCGTAGCGGTGCCGTGATGTTCGGTGGAGTTTTGTAAGTTGTGTGTGACATGTGCTTCTTCTT